GGCAGGCAGATGGTTGCACCATTCTCAGGGTCAGCATCTTCCCCATGTGGCATGGGGGAGGGGAGGGTCACGGGGCCTGGGAGGCTGTAGCCTAAAGCCATGCAGTGGGCAAGAGACTACTGGGCAGGCTCCTGCTGGCCTTCAGTTCCCTGAGCATCCGGTGCCAGGATGCTCCTTGTGGGCTCTGCCCTGGGAGAAGTGCCCTTGCCCAGTGCTCCTTATCAGTGTCTGTGATGCGCTCTCTCCAGTCCTCCTCATTAGCATACCTTGGCTGATGTTTCGCTCATGGAAAAACACTTTACTCTTCTCTGAACAATTTCTTTTTCACAATTGAGGAAATGACTGATGAGGCGACCACACTCAGGACCATACTCATCTGTTGGTGGGGGTTTGGGGGGTGGACTGGATAAGGCATGACCATACTCACCTGTTGGTGGGGGGGTGGGGGGTGGACTGGATAAGACGTGACCATACTCACCCGTTAGTGGTGGGGTGGGGGGTGGACTGGATAAGACATGACCATACTCACCGTTGGTGGCGGTGGGGTGGGGGGTGTGGACTGGATGAACATGACCATACTCACCCGTTGGTCATGGTGGGGCGGGGTGGACTGGATAAGGACAGCATTGGGGCGACATTCCTTCTGGCCTTCCCACTGCAGGAGCCACAATTGCTATGAGGAATGTTGGTGGTGGGGCGGGGGGTGGACTGGATAAGGACAGCATTGGGCGACATTCCTTCTGGCCTTCCCACTGCAGGGAGCCACAATTACTATGAGAATCCTGTGGGAGGCCAGGGTAGTCCAGGATTTCCCTTTGGGCAATCAGTATTCCAACTGCTCCCCCTACTTCTGTACTCTGGAGAAGTAAATCACCACCACGCCCTTCCCATTCCTCCTGTGCCTCAGCCCGAGGGTCCTGCTCTTCCTGCATGTTCGAGCTGATCTTTCTAGGGAGCAGCCTGCACTGTGCCAGCGCCACCCCCTTGTCACAGGCAGCACCTCCTTGTGCCCTGGGAGCCTCAGTCTGCCCTTGGGCTCAGGCCCCTAGGCTCAGGTTAGCTGACATTCCCAGGAAATCCTACACCTTCTCCATTCCTTTCATGGCTCTAAGACACAGTTCAGTATCAGTCTCATTGCAAAACACATTTCTAAAGAGTGTCCTTTCTTTCCCAACACTAGCAGGGACAGTAAGTGGTGTTTCCTGGGAGATGCTGTGGTGTTATTTTTGCACTGCAAGGGCTCTGAAGAGTGCCAGGCTTGAAGTGAAGAACCACGTCACCTGCCTATCCCAGCCAGGTGACAATGGACAAGGGGCTTCACCTCTGAGCTGTTTTCCAGCTGCACTGGGCACATTCCTCCCCTCACCCTGACTCACAAGGTGTTAGCAATAATGGACACTCCTCTACCTTCTGCCACACTCTGAACAATACTACACTTCCGTCAAATGGATTCATCCCAAAGGTAAAGCACGTTGCTTCTGGCAGGAGAAAGGTAACGTTTTCATACCACTTTCATTTGATCTCATTTAGAAGGTACTTGAAGAATAGAGAAGACTGGGTTTTCTCTGGGATTATAGTCAAGCATTTCTTAATGACCAGGACATGTTCTGAAAAACGTGTCATTACACAGTTTCATCACTGTGCTGTCATAGAGCATACACACCCAACCATAGATGGCATAGCCTACTCCACACCTAGGCTGCACAGTATGGCCTGTTGCTGAAGGCTACACACCTGTACAGCATGTTATCGTACTGGATATTGTAGGCAACTGTAACACAGTGGTATTTATGTATCTAAATGTATATAAACACGGAAAAGGTATAGTAAAAGATGGTATAATCTCATGAGATCACCATCGGATACACCATCCATCACCAATAGAAACATGGTGATAAGGCACCGGACTGTACCTACAGCCCCCACCGTGAGGTCAGTGGCAGCCTGGATAGTGGGATTGGACTTCATGTTTGCCCACTCTTCTGCTGGTCTCGTGGAAGGCAGCTCTCTGGAGCTTATGACAGGCACCACATATCCCTGAGGGGAGGCAAGATATCACCATTAGTCCAAGTCTGCAGCCTCCTGTTCTTTAGGCCTGCAGCCAAATTACTGAACCTAAATTTCTGGGAGCCAAGAACTGGGCTCTACACTGTTCCAAAGGAAAGGGGCTCAAGGTATCAGTGCAGCTTAGCAATTGCCCCCTAGAATGCTACGGCCACCAGTAGCACTTCAACTGACCTTTCTGAAAACTGAAAAAATGAACACCAAATAAGTAAGTCAACCACACATGTACTAAACCACATCGGGCTTGCTTTTTTAGAGGCCTGCGCTGAGCCATCAGTTGAACAGACTCAGCTCTAAATTCAGACAGCAGCCTGTGCTGGGTGCGTAAGAGGATGTCACAAGATAGTAGGTCTGGAAAGAGGTACCCAGGCAGCCAAGGGTGGGAGCTGCACCCCAGGATCACAAACACCTTGGTGAATGCCTACTCTACCTGCAGTGTGGCCCCTTTGGCCTCTATAGCTGGGAGTCTTCATCTGTACAAGGTGAATAATAAAAATATTAAACAAAGGCAGTCAAAAATAGCCACATTGGTGTTGGGGTAATCAAACCCAACACCAGGCCGTGGGGGCTACGAAGTCCAGCGGAGTCAAAGGAATGAGACAAGACGAGTTAATAGTACACAAAGTGGGTCCAGGGGGCCAACGCTACTATGGAGGCTGTGAAGGCCCTGAGCTCTGGGAGCCCACACTATTTATTGGTGATTAAACAAAGAAGCAGGTGGTGAGGACGTGCTGGTCGAAAGGAAGTGGTCACATCAAGTGTTTAATTTATAGCTGTGTCAGTTTAGCATTTTCTTTAAAGCATGTGGAACATGTTCTGCTACTCAAGATAATGTTTAACATGTCCTTCTAACTCAAGATACAATCAATTTATGATCCTGGGAGAGCAAGAAGCAAGGAGCCAGCAGGTCTGGACACATTCCAGAGGCCACAAGGGGTTTTACATCCTGAGTCCTGGATTCCATCCAAGCCACGAGGGGTTTTATGCCTGGGCTTAGGTTGTAGTGTGGCGGGGCAGCTTTCCACCCTTAAGCGCCTAGCCTGGTGTTCCATAGGCCACAGGAGGTTTTAAAATCTGGACCCAGGACATGTTCTAAGGCTCTTTTCATATGATATCAGACTAGAAGTCTTACTTCAGCTTTTCTCCCAACAATTGGACTGATGGGATGCTCCACTGTGCACAAGCATCATGGGTTCTTAAAACAAAGCCCTGCACAAAGCACCAAATATGTTCCTGTCACCACAGTCCACCAGCCCTTCAACTATAAACGTGCACAGGAGTCACCTGGGGGCCTTGCTAAATAAAAATGCAGCTTCTGATTCAACAGCCTCGAACGGGACCAGAGATTCTGCCTGTCTTGATGAGCTCCCGAGTGAGGCAGACAATTCCAGTCCACAGACTCACACTTTGAGATAGGGCACCGGGGCCATTGTGTTCAAATGTGCTTGATAACCTGGAGCACTTATTAAATATCCAAGTTGCCAGGACTTTCTTCTGGAAATCTTGATTCAGTATGTTTTGTTTGAAGCCTTGGACGTTTGGGAAAACTAGAATTTCTTCTCTCTCTTTTGACAGAAGTCAACTACTGTTGAGGCATGGGCTTAATAAATGTTGACTAAAATATCCAACTCAACAACCAATCCTGTATAATTTTCAAACTGTATCAGTAACTTGCCAGGTCCGACCTGACCCTGGCTGTGCAATGGATGAAGAAATGCACTCAGACACAGGTATCCCATGAAAGAGCAGGCTAGGGGACCCAGCAGCTCCCAGACACCAAGGATGGTGCCGTAAAGAGTCAGCAGCCACAGCCCTGACAGGCTGGGCCTCCAGGCTTTTATTCAGTACGGATTTAATGACAAAGGCCTCAAGTAAACACCACTAGAGGGTAATTAACATTGCTGACCTCCCGAATAGAGAGCAGTCATGTGCCTGCAGATGATCAAAAGTTAGTCTTAGGACCACATGAGTAAACAAGCTATTTAGATAAACTCCTCTACATTCCTATGTATCTACGCCCTAAGCTTTTAAGAGAATTCAGCTGCCTTCAGTCAAATCATTTACTGAAGCTTTGCAAACCTCCCAGTCTTCCAAGAAGTTTTGTGTCTATTTCCTACAACTTAACTTTTATAATTTCTCCCACCACCCTGACAGATCCCCTACAAAAGACCATGTTTTTTCTCAGCTTGCTCAGTCCAGCTGAGCTAGCTTTCCAGTGGACTCCTGAATGTGAGAAGGACACAGGCTCCCAGGACCATCCACAAGCATCTCTCATCACCGTAAAGCTCTGAAACACTGGTTGGGTGCAGAGGCTCATGCCTGCAATCCCAACACATTCAGAGGCTGAGGTGGGAGGATCGCATGAGGCCAGGAATTCAAGACCAGCTGAGGTAGCATAGCAGGACCCCATCTCTACAAAAAGTACACCCCAAAATTAGCTGGGTGTGGTAGCACATGCCTGTGGTCTCAATTAATTGGGAGGCTGAGGCGGGACTATCCCTTGAGCCCAGGAGTTTGATGCTGCAGTGAGCTATGATTGCACCACCGCACTCCAGCCTGGCAGACAGATTGAGACCATCTCTAAAACAACAACAGGCCGGGTGCAGTGGCTCATGCCTATATTCCCGGCAATTTGGGACGCCAAGGCAGGTGGATCACCTGAGGTCAGGAGTTCGAGACCAGCCTGGGCAACCTGGCGAAATCCTGTCTCTACCAAAAATATAAAAAATTAGCAGGGCATGGTGGCAGGCACCTAGAATCCCAGCTACTCCGGAGGCTAAGGCAGGAGAATTGCTTGCATCCAGGAGGAGGAGATTGCAGTGAGCTGAGATCACACCATTGCACTCCAGTCTGGGCAACAAGAGCAAAACTTCATCTCAAAAAAATAAAAAATATAAAAAATAAAATGAAACAATAAAAAAAATGAGACAGAAAACTGAAATATTTTAAGTTTCATTTTATTATTGCTTGTTAGTTGTTTAAAGTAATTCTACTTCCACTTACTTTATTTTTAAAGACACTAATTTCTACACTGAATAAAACCTTAATGAAGTTTCATTATAAGTATCTATTATCATTTGATTATTTTCTACATAGAAGCATGCAAAAAGTTTAAAATTCAGTTTCATTTGATTTAGCCTTGACTGTAATGAAGGACTCTATGAAGAGGGGACACAGTGTCTGTGGGCTGAGTCCCAGCAACTGCTTGGTGGCAGAGTCCCAGTCTTTCCCCAGTTCAAGCCATGGGCAGATAGATGGGCACTGTCCTTCAGTTCTTCTTACCCATTCACTTGCTTTCTTTATTGCCTCAAAATCTGAGGGAATATTCCTAGATTAAAAAAAAAAAGTTTCAGATTTCAGAATATAATAACATGTGAAATGTAATGTGGTACTAAACCCATCACATGATATCAGACAAAATGATTCTGCCAAAAATTAAGATATTCAATAAAAGCAGTTTTCCTTGACATCTTACAGAAGTTCTTCTACCCGTCTGACCTGGAACGTATGCACTGCATTGTCAAGTGTCCCGTGCCCACCACTTCCCGGCTTCCACGTGCCTCCAGGCATCCCTGCTGCCTACAGGACAGCTCAAGTTCCAGCCTCTCTACAGTTGTTTATGGTTGTCCCCTTTCCATGCTTCTCAATCTAAATCCTATCCATTCTTCACGCACAAACTCAAGTACTGTTTCACAAATGAGGCTTCTGTTTCTCTCTCCTTCCCACTGCACCAACTTGATTAGGTACCTTCAGAATATCTGAGAGTCCCCTATGAAACTGGCATCTATTCAGCTGTGTTACGTAAACCAGGAACAACTTGCTAGAATAAGCATATCGAGTCAAGCCTGTGTCCACTAAATGGTGTCAAATATTTGAGACTGTTGAATATTCAAGTCTATTCAACACTTAGAAAAATTCTGAGACTGTTCATTAATATTAATTAGTTACTTCCTCATTTGTTCTGTCATCTGCTAGAACTTGTTAGTGAACAAGTGGCAACATACACCAAAGTTTTTCAGAAAATTCTATAGGGGAAACTTAATATTTTGAAAATTCTCTCCCTGTTCCTGATTTTTCCCTGTGAACTGGGAAAGGGCCGTCAGTATAGCGTGGTGGTCAAGAGCTGGGTTCGAGTCCTGACTCTGCAGTCACATGATATTGGCCATGTGATACTGCGTGGCTTTCATTTAACACTGGGAATCTCAGTTTCCTCAATTACGAGAATAATGTGAGGTCCTATGGGTTTGTGGTGGAAATAAACAAAGCTTATAAACTTAACATGCTTACTAGTCCCTTGTACACAGTAGGCACTCAAATGTTCGCTGAATGTCATAATAGAATGAACATACTAAATAAGAAGCATGCCCAAAGTGGTTAAAAGATCAATGTTTCCTGGTAAATGTTTATCTACTGATAGTTACTAACTGCTGAAAACAACAAAACTGGCTTGAATATTTTCACTAATTCAGCTGGCCTCCTTCAGTCCAGTGGCCTCTACACTTTTTGGTTCACGATTCTACTAGTAAGAAAGTCTTGTGCCTACACCCCCATGTAATGTGCTCCTACATCAATGTTATGTACATCTTGAACTAGAAAATATAGAAAAAAGTTTCAAATATGCAATAAACAGGAAATAAAAAATATTTTATTTTATTTTTTTTTTTTTTTGAGACGGAATCTCGCTCTGTTGCCAGGCCGGAGTGCAGTGGCACGATCTCAGCTCACTGCAGCCTCCCACTCCCCGGTTCAAGCGATTCTCCTGCCTTAACCTCCTGAGTAGCTGGGATTATAGGCACATGCCAACATGCCCAGCTAAGTTTTGTATTTTCAGTAGAGACGGGGTTTCACCATGTTGGCCAGGATGGTCTCAACCTCCTGACCTCGTGATCCACCCACCTCAGCCTCCCAAAGTGTTGGGATGATAGGCATGAGCCACTGCGCCTGGCCTACAATCGTATTGTCTTACGTACTAAAGTGCCAACAAACCATTTTGTTAGCACAATATCAGTGATGTAGTAAGAGCAATATGCTGGAATATACTTGATCAATTTTGAAAATTTTGCTTTAATACTTTGTGGTATTATAGTTCAAAAGCAGGTTCAAAGTTTATACTTGTTCTAACAGCTATAATAATAATAATTGGGAACAATCTAAACAGAACAAGTACCTCTTTGGATGTGCCTATTAAGTCAAATACTAATCTTTTAGTCCCATCTCCTAGCTGTTCAAAGTGTTTTTTCTTTGATATTTATTTAATTAATTCTCTTGGCAAGTGGTACTGGGTTTATTTTAAAATAAAATACAAAAAATAGGCTGGTGCAGTGGCTCACTCCTGTAATCCCAGAACTTTCAGAGGCCAGTGTGGGCAGATCACTTGGGGCCAGGAGTTTGAGACCAGCCTGGCCAACATGGCAAAACCTCATCTCTACTAAAAAAACAAAAATTAGCTGGGCATGGTGGTGCACACCTATAATCCCAGTTACTCGGAAGGCTGAGGCACAAGAATTGCTGGTCTTAAACTCCTGGGCTTGATCTTGCTGGGCTCAAGTGATCAACCTGGGAAGCAGAGGTTGCAGTAAGCCGAGATTGTGCCACTGCACTCCAGCCTCGGTGACAGAACGAGACCCTGCCTCAAATAAATAAATAAATAAATAAAAACAAAAAAAACAAAACCCCCAAAATAGAAAAAAGAAAAGAATAAATTCTCATCTTTCTTGGCAAACTAATGAAAAGGTATTGCTTTTTAAAAAATGGAAGCGTAAATTATGATTTTCCTTTTTTTTAGACAGGCTTTCACTTTGTCACCCAGGCTGGAGCGCAGTGGCACAGTCACAACTCCCTGCAGCCTCGACCTCCTGGGCTCAAGCAGTCCCCCCACCTCAGCTTCCTGAGTAGTCACACACTACCACACTCGGCTAATTTTAATTTATTTTGTAGAGACAGGGTCTTGCTATGTTTCAAGGCTGGTCTTGAACTCCTGGAAGCAAGCAATCCTCCTGCCTTGGCCTCCCAAAGTGCTGGGATTACAGGAGTGAGCCACCATGTCTGGCCCAAGGGCAGTGATCTGCCCACACTGGCCTCTGAAAGTTCTGGGATTACAGGAGTGAGGATCAAGGATGCGAAAGATGAAATAGTATTCTAGGCATATTGAGGTCATATATAATAGATAAATCTGTGTTTTGGTTGAGAAACTCCCTTACCAAGGAAAGACAGAAGAAAACACACAGCAAGTACTCAGTAACGAGTCTGTGATTAAGGATCGAACATACCTGAGCAAATCACTGAAATAAATCCCACTTCCAAGGTTTCCGATGTCTGTTCTTTGCACACCACGATCTTCCACTGCTTTGGGTAAAAGCAACCCTCTGAAAAGAGAAGGGCAGGATAAAGTGTAAGCCCAACGCTGACTGCATCTCTCCCTCGCTCAGACCTTTGGCAGGTTCCTACTGAACTTGTGGCATTCTGAGAACTCTGCAATCAGGGTGAGATCATGGTTGTCTCTGGGAACAGAAGCAAAGGGAGATTTCTGCTTTTTTTTTTTTTTTTTTTGAGACAGAGTCTCACTCTGTCCCCCAGGCTGGAGTGCAGTGGCACAATCTCGGCTCGCTGCAAGCTCTGCCTCCCGGGTTCATACCATTCTCCTCCCTCAGCTTCCCAAGTAGCTAGGACTACAGGCGCCCGCCACCACGCCAGGCTAATTTTTTTTTTTTTTTGTATTTTTAGTAGAGATGGAGTTTCACCATGTTAGCCAGGATGGTCTTAATCTCCTGACCTTGTGATATCCGCCTGCCCCGGCCTCCCAAAGTGCTGGGATTACAGGCATGAGCCACCATGCCTGGCCCCTGCCTTTTACTATATAAACATCTATTGTTTGAATTTCACATTAGTAGATTGAATGAATTTTGTAAAATAGCTTTTGGGTTTTAGTCCTACTTAGAAAGCTCATCCCTACTTAAGGATTATTTTTAAAAGATTCTTCCATTTTTCATTTAGTATACTTTTGGTTTGATTTTAAATATTTAAATATTTGCTCTATCTAGAGTTTAAGTATGAGAAATGAGGTAAGGGTCCAACTTTATATTTTTTCCTTGTGGTTACCCATTTATCTCTATAGATAGTATTGAAGAAATTGTCTTTCTTCCACAGAGATAAGATCTACTTGTATCATACCCTAAATCTTCTGTGTTTTTGAGTTCATTTGTGTTTAATATTAATGTCACCTTCATTATGCTTCTTTTCCAGAATTATTCTGGTAATTTCAAAATTAAAAAAAAAATATGTGTTGTAGAATCAGCTTTTCACTTCTTTAAAAAAACCTTATTGGTAATTTTATCATGATAGCACTAAATCTATAGATTAATCCAAGAAAAACTGGCATCCTTCTGATTACTGCAAGTTGTCTTTTGGGTCCCTCAGTAGAAGTTTAATGGGTTTTTGTTTTCTTTTTTTCCCCAGGTGGGTCTTGTATGTTTCTTCCTAAGTTTCTTCTAAGTACTTAATTAACGGATCTACATTTAATAATATTTTCTCCTGCTCCTGTGACTTCAGTTTCAGCCCTAATATTAAGTAGTAATTCAAAGCAAACAGAATCTTAGAGTTATGTTTCAAATAAACAGCTCGTGTTGTCTGGTGCGCACTCTAATTTCTGGACTCTTCTCTTTAAATATTGGGCTATCCCTAGATTAGAAACACACGGAAGAGTGATGAATATATAATCACTTTTCTTCATATGACACAGTCTTCAAGAAGCAATTCATACCTATGTACTACATTTAAAAAAAATAAATACATAATTTTTCAAAATAGAGATGAGGTCTTGCTGGTTTTCCAGGCTGGTCTTGAACCTCTGGCCTCAAGTGATCCTTTTGCCTCAGCCTCCCAAACTGCTAGGATTACAGGTGTGACCCACCATGCCCAGCCATAAATATGTAATTTACATAACACACTTCATTGTAAGCTGTGTAATGTTCTCCAGAATGCAGTAAGCTAGCTGATTTTAACTGAAAAGACCCATGTAATAGAAAAAAGTAGGAAAAAAAAGGAAAATGCTTCACATCTGTGAGGCTGAAATTTTTGAAAAGTAAAGATGGCTACTCTTACCAACACAAGATTGCCACGATATTTCGTACGGGAGAACCATGCAACAAGGGCCTCACATTGCCAAGTTTGCTCAAAAACTCTGTGGTTTCATTCACTCTGCCAAATCTAAATATCTGCAAGATATCCACTGGGCTCTTACTGTAAGAATTAGAAGAAAAGTCTTTAGATTACATAATTGGAAACAAAACAAAAAGTCATTATAGCAGAAGAAATCCCAAAAGAGTCCAAATGTCTGTTATCAGGAAACTGATTCAATGAGTCGCAGCACAGCCTATCTTGGAAGTATTATGCAGGTAGTAAAACAAACAAACTCTTTTTTTAAAAATAAGGATATGTAGTAAAGCATACAGTAAAATATAAAATTTAAAAGTAGATTACAAAACTTTATATATAGTATGACCCCAATTTTGTCAAATATATAATAATATATGGAATATATAGTTCTTGCTCTGGGCAACAAAGCAAGACCATGTCTCTGAAAAAAATAAAAATAAAAAAGAATGCAACTTCTGGCCGGGTGTGGTGGCTCATGCCTGTAATCCCAGCACTTTGGGAGGCCAAGGCGGTTGGATCACTTGAGCCCAGAAGTTTGAGACCAGCCTGGGCAACATGGTGAAACTCCATCTCTACCAAAAATACAAATATTAGTTGGGTATGGTGGTGCACACCTGTAGTCCCAGCTACTCAGGAGGCTGGGGCAGGAGAATCACTTGAACCTGGTGGGGGGTGGGGGCGGTAGAGGCTGCAATGAGCTGAGATCACGCCACTGCACTCGAGCCTGGGTGACAGAAAAGAAAGTTTGCCAGGTGCGGTGGCTCACACCTGTAATCCCAGCACTTTGGGAGGCCTAGGCGGGCAGATCACGAGGTCAGGAGATCGAGACCATCCTGGCCAACATGGTGAAACCCTGTCTCTACTATAAATACAAAAATTAGTTGGGCGTCTACTCGGGAGGCTGAGGCAGGAGAATCGCTTGAAGCCAGGAGGCAGAGTTTGCAGTGAGCCAAGATCACACCACTGCACTCCAGCCTGGCGACAGAGCAAGACTCCTTCTTAAAAACAAACAAAAAAAAGTTATCAAATGCCTTATTTTTAAGTGCTGTTTAGGAAACCAACCAGGTTTGGAGAGAGGGTTGTCAAGAAAGGCCTTTCGGGAGGTGACATTTATTGGAATGTGGCACCATAAAATGTCTATTTGAAGACCTCACTGGTTGTTATGAGATGGATGGGGCAGGAGTGGAGGAGAACATCTGGAAGGACATTGTAGATGGGATAATGTGATCTGGATTAAAGATGGCGGCAGAGTGAATGGAAGTGAGCCAAAGGAGGAAGGACACTTTGAAGGCAGAATTGACAGAACACGGGTATGTGGGGATGAGGGAGAGAGAGACCCCACACTGGCTCTGAGTGGGTAGCTAAGATGGGGCAGTTGTTGGGGGAGACTGGGGTATGGCTGAGGGCAGCTGTGGTGGGAGGAAGGGCACATCTTCCCAACCCCATGTCCAGTGGCCTCAGGTCAATACCTTGATATTAGCTATGGTGGGAGTATTTGCTTCCCAGAACTCAGCAAATATTCCAGACCAGGACTTTTCCTTCACAGAGCTGGCTTTCAGCACACCCCTGGGGTGAGCAGCATCGGGGTGATTCAGGCTGGGTTATGTTCTACACCCAAATGTTAGCAGTGGTTATATTATCTCTGGGTTTCTCTGGGTGGTGAGATTTTGAGTGATTTTTAATTTTCTTCATATTTTTAGATATTTTCTAAGCTTTTAGCAAAGAACATGAGTTTTATAACTAGAAAAAAGTAATATAAAGAAATCATGATTAGTGAAATGAAATGAAGAAAATCTAATTTTTCACAGCAGCAGGATCTTTCCCTAGGAAGAAGCCCACTTTAGTCGTGTGACTACTTTTGTACTTAGGGGGTGGGGTGGCTGACCAACGGCTTGCTCAGGTAGCCCTGGAGGGCTGAACTACAGCTGCCACTCCTGGGGCTTGATATGGCTCTTCCTGTCTTCCTGGAGAAAGCTTCTTGCCCTCCAGATTCTACTTTCCATTTCACCAGACTCTTAATAAGTATAGGTTTCAGTGGACACCTAGGGGAGGGTCAAAAGGCAAACCAAAAGAATTTGATCACATATAAAAACAAAATCTGGAGAAGGCCTGTGGAAATGAATGTTTTTGAGACAGAGCCTTGCTCTGTCTCCCAGGCTGGAGTGCAATGGCACGATCCTGGGTCACTGCAACCTCCACCTCCTGGGTTTAAGCGATTCTTGTGCCTCAACCCCCAGAGTAACTGGGACCACAAACGTGTGCCACCATACCCAGCTAAGTTTTGCATTTTTAGTAGAGACATATTGCCCAGGCTGGTCTCAAACTCCTGACCTCAAGTGATCTGCCCACCTCGGCCTCCCAAAGTGCTGGGATTACACATGTGAGCCACGATGTCTGGCCCAGATTTTTTAAAAATTAAAGTGAAATTCCAAAAAGATAAAATTAACCATCAAGTGTACAATTAGGTGGTATTTAGTACAGAACATTCAAAGTGTCATGTAATCACCACCTCTAGTTCCAAAATTTTCATTTGACCAAAAGAAAACCCCATACCTTTTGACTATCAGTCCCCATCCCTCCCTCTAATGGCACCACACAATTTGCTGTCTCTGTGGATTCTATTCTACATATCTAGAAATATCTATTCTATTCTACATATCTAGAATCTGTTCTATTCTACCTATCTAGAAATATCTAGAAATATCTAAAATAGATATTTCATATAAACAGAATCATACAATATGTGGTTTCTTTCACTCAGCATAATATTTTTGAGGTTCACCCATTTATAGTATGTGTCAGTACTTCCTTCCTTTTCATGGCTGAATAATATTCTATTACATATATTTATCATGTTTTGTTTATCCACTTCCTTGTTGATGAACATTTGGGTTATTTCCACCTTTTGGCTGTTGTGAATAGTGTTGCTATGAATATTCATGTACAAGTACCTATTTTAGTACTTGCTTTCAAGTCCTTTGAGTATAGAACTAGGAGTGGAATTGCTGGGTCTTATCGTAATCATATGTTTAATGTATGGAATTACATTAATTGTAATGTAATTAATTTACATTGAGGAATCAACAGTGGCTGCATCATTTTTCCCTCCCATCAGCAATGTGTGAGGCTTTCGGTCTCTCTATATCGTCACCAACACTGATAATTTTCCATTAAAAAGAAATCATAGTTCTGGGAAGCCACACTACTCAGGATAGCCATAAGCTGCCCTCCCAGAGAGGAAGGCTGCAGGACGCCTCTGAAACTTGGAAAAAAGAAGTGCCTGTCGAAGTCACTCCATTTAAGAAGGTAGAGTTTAATGTAAGTTTGGAAGATTCCCATCAAAATGGTTTTATTAAGCAGAAGGGCAAGCTGGAAAACCC